TTTTACCTGTGCGCTCGGGCACTACGAATATTCCGTCTGTCCTTTTGGGCTAAAAGGCTCTGGATCAGCATTTATGCAAATGATTAATGAGGTGTTGCACCCATTACTGTATCGCGGAGTGTATTGTTTTGTGGATGACGTAATTATTTTTAGCCGTGATAAGCGATCTCATGTCCGGTTGGTGAGGGAGGTACTCCAGAAGTTGAGGGAAGCAAAGCTGTTTGCTAAGTTACCGAAATGCGAATTCAATAAGGAACAAATAGACTTCTTGGGATACCGAATCTCCAAGGGTGGGATAGCAATGGATCCCTCAAAGGTAGAGGATGTCAGGGGGTGGGGACCCCCCCAAACACGCAAGCAATTGCAGTCGTTCCTGGGATTTGCTAACTTTTATCGGGGGTTCATAGAGGACTTTGCCCAGGTGACTCTGCCCCTAACTGAACTGCTGAAAACAAAGGGAAAGGGGGAGACAGTAAAGGTACGGTCCCCGGGGGCAAAATTAAATTGGTCAACGGAGTGCCAAAGGGCGTTTGAAGAACTGAAACGCAGATTCACTGAGGAACCGATCCTAATCCACCCCGATTTAACCAAGCCGTTCGTGATCCACTGTGACGCATCGGATTGGGCTTACGGGGCAGCATTGATGCAAAGGGATCCGGAAGGGAGGTTGAAACCCTGCGGGTTCATCTCAAAAAAGTTCAGCGAAACTGAACGGAACTGGCCAGTATGGGAAAAAGGAGGCTCTATCAATCTTAAGGGCTCTGGAAACATGGAGACATTTATTAGAGGGAAGCGGCATACCTTTTGAGGTGTGGACCGACCATAAAAACTTGCAATACCTCACTTCACCCAGGCAGTTGTCAGCAAAGCAAATAAGATGGGGACAGTATTTCAGCCGATTTGATTTTGAGCTGCGGTTTCATAAGGGGAAACAAAATGTGGTCGCGGACACGTTGTCAAGAATGCCGGAGAATGGAGGGAGGGGGCAAGGCCCAAAGGGGAGCATATTCTCAGAGCGACAGTGGGGCATGGCAGTACAAACCTGAGCACAAACGGAGCGCAGTCAAAGGCTAGTGGGGGTTGAGAGCAAAGACGGGGGATGGGAGGAGGAGATAAGGCAAGCATGCAAGGAGGATGAGTGGTTGGAAAGAAATAAGGAAAAGGTGGAATGGAAGGACGGATTGGGGTTTGTAAACAAGAAATTGTACATCCCAATCAACTTACGAGGAAAAATGATGGTCAGGTGCCATGGCAGCAAGGGGGCAGGACACTGGGGGGTCACGAAAACCCTGAAGTCACTGGCACGCCAATGTTGGTGGCCCGGGATGAGGGGTGACACAAAATTGTATGTATCCCAATGTAACGCGTGTGCACAAAGTAAGGCAACCACACAAAAACCAACGGGATTGTTGCAGAGGGTGGCAGAACCATCGAAACCTTGGAGGGTAATTGCCATGGATTTTGTGGGCGAACTCCCCAATAGCCGAGGTCAGCGCTACATTTGGACAGTGATGGACCTGTTCTCGAAGCAGGCACATTTCATAGCGCTGCCGAAGTTACCATCCGCAGAAAGGTTAGCGGAGCTATTTATCAAACATGTCTATCGATTGCATGGCTGTCCCGACCAGGTGATCAGTGATCGAGGGGTGCAATTTGCGGCCCGGTTCTGGGAGAGGTTCATGCATTTAATGGGGGTGGAAAGGACCCTGAGTTCAGCGTTCCATCCCATGACCAATGGAGGGTCGAACGCGCACAACAGACATTGGGGTTATTTCTAAGGACATACACAAATCATTGCCAAAACAATTGGGCAGATTTACTCCCATTTGCAGAAATCGCATACAATGGAGCATGTCACGCGTCCACAGGTAAATCTCCCTTTGAAATAGTGTACGGAATGGATGTGACCCCATTGCCAAAACTGCCGAGTTGGGAGGAGGAACCCTGGGGAAAGGAAGGGTGGCCAGACAAGGTGAAGGCGAGCTGGGAGGAAGTGGCGAAGTCACTTAGAGAAGCCCAACGAAAATATAAATTGTTTGCGGATAGGAAAAGGAGGGAGGGAGACAAGTTGGAAGAAGGGGAATTGGTGTGGTTGAGCACCAAAAATCTTAAGTTGAGTGGACCCTCCAGGAAACTGTCTCCCAAATACATTGGGCCCTTTAGAATTTCCAACAAAGTAAATGATGTAACATACACGTTGAAGTTACCAAAGGTTTTGGGAAAGATACACCCAACGTTCCATTGCAGCTTGTTAAAAAAATACCAAGGGCCACTAGATAAAGAAGGAACATGATAGTGACGTGTATCCCCCTTCCTGGAAGAGGAGGAGGAGGAGGGGGACGTCATGTCAGGACTCGGTTTCCTGGCCTCGGACATTGGCGCAAAAAACCCGCGTCCTGACTCGGAGAGCTGATAAGAATGTGCAGCTGGTGGCCTTGGGGGAAAGCAGTTGATAAATGGCGGGGAACATTGCGCGGGATCCTCGGCTGGCGGGAAAGGGAGATTCAATTGTGAGGGAGGGTATAAAAGGGATTGACCTGCGGCTGTATGCCAATCCTGGCTTTCGTTGTGTATGCATTTCCAGTAGTAAAGGTTTCCTGATTGATTACGGATTGGCGTCCTGTGTCTTTTCTGGGAGCGGCTGCTGTGAGCTTACATATATATATATATATATGAGAGAATGAATATGATTGTTCTCTCTCTCTCTCTCTATATATATATATATATATATATAAGAGAGAGAATAAATGATTTTACACACACACACATATACACACACATGCCTCAAAATATTACTAGCCTATTACAAGAGTCTGGCTTTTGCAGGTACAGCATATTTAGCAGAGCAAATGGGGAGGGATAAAGGTGGGTGGGGGAGCACATGGGACCTAGAGAAGTACACTTGGAAAGTACCATGCGCAGGGCTTTTTCTATTTCTGCCCCTGCCTTTTGGAATTCCTTGCTGCCTCTATGAGAGCCATGCGTGACTTAGGGCCTTTTACTCTAGCACTTAAGACCTGGCTTTTTACTAGAGCATTCGATCTCTGTTAATTTTTAATTTCTGTATGTATGTATTTTATCTTTTACAATTTAGCTGTAAATCACCTAGAGCATTCTCAGATGGAGGGCGATTAATAAGTAATTAAATATGATGATGATGATGTGTGTGACATAATGCTTATGCCATATTTGTGGCATGACAACATTTTTCTTGAAATGAAACTGCATGTCTTTGCTTTTTTAACATTTCACACCTGGGGAATAGTTTTTCTTTTAGCCATGTATAGGGCTGGAATGGAAGAGAGCATCTGATTTGTATGTATTTCTGATAATGAAGTTTCATCTGTGGAAAGTGGAGCCTCCGGTGGCGCAGTGGGTTAAACCTCTGTGCCGGCAGGACTGAAGACCGACAGGTCGCAGGTTCGAATCCGGGGAGAGCGCAGATGAGCTCCCTCTATCGGCTCCAGCTCCTCATGCATGAGAGAAGCGTCCCACAAGGATGATAAAACATCAAAATATCTGGGCGTTCCCTGGGCAACGTCCTTGCAGACGGCCAATTCTCTCACACCAGAATCAACTTGAAGTTTCTCAAGTCATTCCTAACATGACAAAAAAAAATCCATGGAAAGTACGGATGTGCTGGGATTCTTGCCTTAAAGAGGAGGGTTGGACCAGTAATCTGCACTATTACCTTGGGCTAAAACTACTGTCCTGTCTCCTTTAATATGCTCAGATAGTGATTATCTAGTAACCCAGATTTGTGTGTATTAAGACTCCTAAGCTTCTCCGTCTCAGATTAGTATCGTCATTTCTTCTCAGTCATTGCCTTGCCCTGCTGAGTGCTGTTTTCCTTAATCATAATAGATGCAATTTATTCCTTAGGCATGGCTTTTGTCTTCTAGGAAGTTCCCGTGAATATTTTCATACTGCAGTGGTGTCCTAGGCGTGCATCCTTAAACTCTATTCATCAGTGTGTACTGTTTTATTGATTTATCCTCTGACTCTCTTATTCACCACAAACCATTGGGATAAGGCAGTGTAGCTGGAGAAACAAAATCCAATAATCCATCTTTATTGGCCAACCAAAATACACAAAACACGCCATGCAGACTTTCAAACCCCTGTCTCTTGCTTCATTGGGACAAAGATGTTTAAACAATCATAAAGGAGGAAAGAAAAATGAAAAACTAGGTTTGCTTCACAGATAAAATGTAAGTTTTAACTCTTAACCCTACAATTTGATTTTCAATTAAGGAAAATGTGAAATGTCACCTCTAAAACCTCTACCAGATTCCTATTTTTTGTTTATTTGAAACTGGTGAATCTGGAGTTAGTGAGACAGTTGTAAAATAAGATATAGGACTAACATGATACTTGCAAATGTAACCACAACGATTATTGGTTCAGACCTTGCAACTGTTTAATCAGCATAAGAAAAACTGAATTGGTTCATGATCAAGGCCATTCCTGCTATTCCATTATTTCTATGTTATTTTCCAAACCCACAGTAGCATAGCATCTCCTTAAGGTTTTAATTATGATTTTTTAAAAATCGACAACAATTCTGCGGACTCTTAAATCGGAACTTTCCTTGAAGATTTACATTGCAATCCTGTATGCATCCACTCAAAAGTAAGTTCATTGCTTACTCCCAAGTAAGTGAGCATAAGATTCCTGCCTAAGTTGTACATGTTTCGGTTCTCTTCTGACAGCATTAAGCAACCTGGTGCTCTCCAGATGTTTTGAACATCAACTCCCTTTTGGTTCAGTCCCCATTGCCAATGGTCTGAAGATTGCAGATGTTGTAGTCCAAAAACGTATGAAGTGCATCAGGTTGCAAAGCCATGTCTTTAGAGGATTTCCTTAAAAAATGTTATTTCTCACATATTAACTTGGTTATGGAAATTCAGATGTTCTGGGGGGAGAATGTGCAGCATTGCACAGCATTTGTTCAATCTGGAGCTGTCTATTTACATTCTACTTTTTGTTTTGCTTTCCAGTGCCTTCTCCTAGTGCCTTGATGGTAGACAATCCTACATCATTTGGAAATGCAAAGGAAGTTGTTGCGATTAAAGACTATTGCCCAAACAACTTCACCACCTTAAAGTTCTCCAAGGGGGACCACCTTTATGTCTTAGATACCTCAGGAGGTGAGTGGTGGTATGCTCACAATACCACAGAGATGGGCTACATCCCAGCTTCCTATGTCCAGCCTATCAATTACCGAAACTCTTCACTGACGGACAGTGGAATGATAGACAATCTGCTAGAAAGCTCTGATGAAGGAGCCAAAGAACTTGATCTCCTCGGAGACTGGACTGAAGCAAAGTGGAGCTTAGCCAAAAACAACCCTTTCTTGAATAACCGGCAGACTAATCCTTTTCTCAATGGTAATGTGCAGAAAATTCTGGACAGAGAAAAAGAATCGTCCCTTCATGCCCCAGTGGATTTGTTGCTCTTTGACACAGAGGTGCCTACATTTACAGGGTCAAGCTCTGCAACAAATAGTAGTGTTGGGAATCATCTTGATGAGATTCCATTGATGAATGGATTTCAGTTGGATCAACCAAGCAGGCGGGACAATCCTTTTTTCAGAAGCAAACGCTCTTACAGTTTATCAGAGCTATCGGTGCTTCAAGCGAAGTCAGAAAATCCAATGCCCTCAGGTTTATTCTCTGGACTGAAGTCTCCTACCCCAGAACAGTTCCAAAGCAGAGAAGACTTCAGGACTGCATGGCTGAATCATCGAAAGTTAGCAAGATCATGCCATGACCTGGATCTGCTGGGCCAGAATCCTGGTTGGGGTCAGACACAACCTGTAGAAACCAACATCGTTTGCAAGTTGGATAGCTCTGGAGGTGCAGTTCAGCTTCCAGATACAAATATAAACATTCGTATTCCAGAAGGCCATGTGGCTGCTGGAGAGACACAACAGATCTCTATGAAAGCTCTGCTGGATCCACCTTTGGAGCTCAACAGTGATAGGTGCAGCACTATAAGCCCTGTGCTAGAAATTAAGCTGAGCAACATGGAGATTCGAACCTCCATCCTGCTAGAAATGAAGATTTCAGCTGAAGTGAAGAATGATATTGTTAGTAAGAGTTTAGTGGGGGTACAGTGTCTGCGAAGTGACATGAAGGAAGGCCCGTATACGCCAGTACAACTCAAACAGTGCTATGGAGACACAATCCAGGCCCAGTTGGAGAACCTAGAACCTTGCATGTACATTGCAGCTGTGGCCCAAGGACAGAATATTTTGTATCCTTACACAGTTTGGGATCATATCCTTAAAAAGATCACTGTGGGTGTCTATGGTCCAAAACATATCCATCCTTCTTTTAAAACAGTGGTGGCTATCTTCGGACATGATTGTGCTCCGAAGACTCTGCTAGTGAATGAAGTTACACGCCAAGTGCACTGTGTTGCACCTGTGGCACTGCAGTTGTGGGGTAAACACCAGTTCACCTTAGGAAGGCCACAAGACCTAAAGCTTTGCATGTTTTCAAATATGACCAATTATGAGGTGAGAGCCAGTGAGCAGGCAAAAATAGTGAGAGGCTTTCAAATGAAGCTGGGGAAAGTCAGCCGCCTCATCTTCCCCATCATATCGCATGATCCCAATGAGCTGTCTGACTTCACACTGAGAATACAGATCAAGGATGATAAGGATGCCATCCTGACTCAGTTCTGTGTCCAAACACCCCAGCCTCCACCCAAAAGTGCTGTGAGGTCCACTGGACAGAGAAGGTTCCTGAAGAAAAAGGAAGTTGGCAAGATCATCTTGTCCCCTCTTGCAACTATCAGCAAATACCCAGTTTTCCAAGATCGGATGGTGGGGAGCTTAAAATATGGCAAACTGCTGAAAACAGTGGTGAGGCAAAACAAGAATCATTACCTCTTGGAGTATAAGAAGGGAGATGCCATAGCCTTGCTAAGTGAGGAGAAAATCAAGTTGAAAGGCCAGCTCTGGACAAAAGAGTGGTACATTGGATACTATCAGGGTAAAATTGGCCTGGTCCATACCAAAAATGTTTTAGTTGTTGGGAAAGTCAAGCCAAATTATTTCTCTGGACCTGAGCTTACCACTAGCATGTTGCTGGAGCAAATCCTGAGGCCTTGTAAATTCCTCACCTATATATATGCGTCAGTAAGGACTTTGCTGATGGAAAACATTAACAGCTGGCGGGCATTTGCAGATGCCCTGGGGTATGGCAACTTGCCACTTGCTTTCTTCTGCCGAGCAGAGTTGGACAGTGAACCGGAATGTGTGGCTTCTGTGCTGGAGAAATTGAAAGAAGACTGCAATAATTCGGACAATAAAGATAGGAAATCTTTCCAGAAGGAACTGATGTCAGTAAGTATTCCCCTCACTTGACATAATCTTAATTCCAAAGTAGTTGTCAGATCTTTTAGAATTTTGTTGGGTTAAAGAGTTGAGCTGAACAGTCTGGGTTGAATGCTACTGCATGCTTTAAAAACAGACTTTAAAACCCCACCCTTCAATGTTATTAGATGCTTATACCAGCCGGAGATTTGTCCTGAAATTGAGATAGCTAAGGTACAAAATGGCTAGAGCAACTCTAAAGGCCTTTGCTGATACTCAGGTTACAAATATTGTAAATAACAAAAGTTGTTTTTGGTCTGTGATATGGTGGTAGAAGTTGATGTGCAGCTGTTTATTATGATAGACCTTGTATAAGCAGACCAAATTGTGGGGTGGTGTGTTGATCCGTTTCAGTTTTCATTTGCACCAAGAGTCTGTTGTAAAGCTCATGGCTTTTAATAATCCATTCAAAAACAAAAATCTATGGATTTCAACAGATGGCTCACAACACCAGAGTGCTGGTAAAGTGCTAGGAACAACCCACCCACTTCTGTTATTTTGAGGGTTAGAGTTGAGGGAATTGGCAGACAACATCATCATTGCAGTCTCTGCCTCTGCTCAAACATTGATCTGATTCTCAAGACCCATGTATTGTTTTAGTCTATAAATCAAACTATAGAATTGGGTTGTTGTAGGTTTTTTCGGGCTGTATGGCCATGGTCTAGAGGCATTCTCTCCTGACGTTTCGCCTGCATCTATGGCAAGCATCTCAGAGGTAGTGAGGTCTGTTGGAACTAGGAAAAAGGGTTTATATATCTGTGGAATGACCAGGGTGAGACAAAGGACTCTTGTCTGCTGGAGCTAGGTGTGAATGTTTCAACTGACCACCTTGATTAGCATACAATGGGCTGACTGTGCTTGGAGCAAACTTTTGTTGAGAGGTAATTAGATGTCCCTGCCTGCTTCCTCTCTGTTGTTGTGCAGAGAAGCCATTGAAATCCACAAGCATGTGAACAATTTCAACAGAAAGGAGGAAACAATGAAAATGAACAAAATCTGGCTACCAGTATTAAAAAAAACTCTAAAATTGCAACAGCACAAGGTGCTGGTACTAACCTTTAAGGCCTTATATGGTCTGGGGCCGGCGTACCTGAGGGCCCGCTTATCCCCCTACCAACCCCAGAGATTACTTCGGTCCGAAGACCAAAATTTGCTTGAAGTCCCCAACATCTGTCCTCTACTAGGCAGAGAGCCTTCTCAATTGTAGCCCCTTATTTATGGAATGCCTTGCCAGGTGAAACCCGATCTATCCGAGACCTACTTGCTTTTCGGAAAGCCTGTAAAACCTTTCTCTTCCGACAAGCTTTCGATGGGTGAATAACTCGGGACTATGTCTGTTCTTGTTTTTATTGTATTTTAAAGTTAATTGTATTGTTTTAATCTACTGCTGTAAACCGCTCCGAGCCAAATTGGGAGTAGCGGTATACAAGTCAAATAAATAAATAAATAAATAAATGTGCATTATACTTGAGTAAATATTGGTATACCCATTTTCCCCGCAACTGGTTTTGAGCGTCATTATCTTTCATGCTCATAAAGAGATTAAGAGAGTAAAAAGTAATAGGAACATCTCTGCAAGCAAGGCTCCCCCAGTGAATCCAAAGTTTGCCTTGATAGTGGCTACAGCGCAGCTTTGTGATGCTTCTATAGCATTGGTTCTCAACTTGGGGGTCGCGACCCCCGGAGGGGTCGATTAGCAATTTCTGAGGGGTCGCGGCACCAGCTCGTTAAGCCCCGCCCCCTTTGCCATCCCAAAATGGCTGCCGAGCAACTTTTGGCAGCCCAATAGCCAGCCAGTACCCATGCTGCTGCTCCTCTTTCCGCATGTTTCCACCTCCAGGTCAGGCTCCTCCTTCAGTAGCAAGGAGTCAAGGAGAGGAGTCACACGCGCGCACGTGAGGAAGAGGCCCCCCTTTCCGTTTCCCTCTCTTTTTCTTTCTCGCCCTTTCTTGTCCTTTATCCCCTCTCTTTACTCTTTGTAATTGCATTGCATTCTTCTAGTTTGCAACAGCATAGATATATTGGGTCAAAGCCTGTGAGATATTCACCCTTAAACTTGTGCATTCAGAGATACTATGGACATAAATGGTACACTTTCAGAAATATCACAAGAAATGCCCTGAAATATTGCTATTGGAATATTTAATTTTTGCGTGTGCTGTTACAGCCAAGATGCTATTCCGTTTTGGTGTGATGGCTGCCTGAATGAAAACATAAAAAATGTAGAGATAGAAGGGAAAAAAGAAAAGAAAGGGATAATAAAAGGAGAGAAAAGGGGAGAAAGAGAGAAAGGAGGGGAAAGAAGAGAGAAAGAAAAAGAAAAGAAAGGCTCCCTGTT